ATTAGGTTTCTCACTTCTTTTAATGTAAAATCAATTTGTTGGCCGGACAATACCCCATAGTCTTTTTTTATGGCAATCTTAAATAGAATACAGCTAAAAGTACTAGCTCGTCATATGAAATTTCATTGTTTTGTAGGGATGTAGATAAGTTGGTTCAGATTAGATTTTGATTTAAATAAATCAAGTTTATATATATATATATATATATATATATATATATATATATATTTTGAGTTTAACATTATCTGTTAACCTGACTTAAGATAAATTATAGGTTTGATGATTTGACTTATATTAAAAAAAATCAAAAGTCAGACCTAGACTTGTTAATCTATTTAAACTTATCAAGTCTTCAATATCTATTAAGAATTAGAAAAAAATAAATAAAATAAAATTATTTAAAATTATTTTATTTTAATTAAAATAAATAATATAATATAACTTAGAATATAGGTTTGTAGGCCCAACCTTATAAAAATAAACCTATAACTTAATTTTTAAATAAGTTTTTTTTTTAAGATTTCAATTTATTCTATTTTATTGAATATATCAGGTCAAGCCTGATATAAGTCATACCATAGCCTTTGGTAAGCCACTAATTCATTTATGGGGAAATGAAGCCTCATGTTACATGAAAGATTTCATATCATGCTAGTGAGACAGAATTTTGTGGTTCCCACTTAACGAAAAAAACAAAAAATGTAAACAAATTAAGCACTGCTTTTGATGTATGCGCTGGAAGATGTATTTGCCTCCTGTGACATGACGCTCGACTTGCCCTTCATTTATACCCTTAATTTTGTCGCCCATTCATTTGCAAGTCAATAATCATGAAGTCACAAATGATAGAGTTGATGCCTCTCTTTTTCTGTTAAAAGGGAAATTTTTTGCATGAATCTAAATGGCTCAATATTTTTATTTTATTTTTTTTGTAAATAAAGAGGGGCAGAAACAGAAAGAAATTACAAATCAGAAACTAACAAGCTAGACATATTTCTAGCACCAGCAACTATAAGTTCCATCAACTGAGGAGAAGGAGGATCTTTAAAAATCTTGAAATGGAGATTATTAGTCTGCCCAGCTTTAGCTCACCAATGAGCACATTTGTTGTTTTCTCTTTTGGTATGAACAAGATGAATAGTCCAATCTGCTATTAACCATAATCTCAATCTGCTAGTGACTTGAGAGTTTGTATTGGGAGTTTGGAGAGGAGGGAAAGGAAGGGGATCCAAGGGGGAGGAAGAGGAGAAAATTGAAGGGTATTCTCTTTTCTTGTTTGGGAGTTAAAAAAATGATAAAAGAGGAAAATTAAGGGTTAATGAGATACTTTTACCATTTTATCCTTTTTTTAAAATTAATATAATTATTATATTTTACAAATTAAATTAAATTTAAAAATTTCTAACAAAATTATTTATGTACTTTTCACAACACCAAAAAAGATTATATTTTCGATGAAAATTTTTATGTTGCAAACGATGAAAATTTCAGTACAAAATTATTTTTTTCGTCGGAATACTTTTCGTCGAAAAGAGACGGAATTTTTCAACCGATGAAAATTTTTACAAAAATAAATTTTCTGTCGAAATTTAGTTTCCATCAAAAGTTTTGACGAAAATGATTTCTTCCATCAAATATTTTAAACGAAAAACGAATTTCGTCAAAATTCAAAATTTCAATGGAAATGTGTTCTGATGAAAATTTCGACAGAAATTGTTTTGTTATAAATTTTGAGGAAAATGTTTCATTCGAAACTTTCGACGAAATTTAGATTCTGTAAAGAATTTTAACAAAATATTTTTTCCGTCAAAATTTTTTGTCGAAATATTTTCTTTCAAAAAATTTTACGGAAATATTTTTTGTTGAAATTTTGTGACAGAAATACGTTCCGTTGAAAATTTTGATGGAAATGTTTTTTATCAAAAACTTGACGGAAATATTTTTTGCTTAAAATTTTCGATGAAAATGTGTTTCGTTAAAAATTTTGACAGAAATTTTTTTTGCCAAAAACTTTAACGAAAATATTTTTGTCAAAAACTTTCGGCAGAATTTAAATTCTGTTAAGAAATTTGATGAAATTTTTTTTCGTCAACAATTTTCGATAGAAATGTGTTTCGTTGAAAATTTTGATGGAAATATTTTTCCTCATAAATTTCGATAAATATGTTTTTTAGTGAACTTTTTTGGCAAAATTTAGATCTCGTAAAGAATTTTGACAAAAAAAAATTTCGTCAAATTTTTTACAAAAATATTTTAGTCACAAATTTTGATGGAAATATTTCCCATAAAAAATTTTGACGTAATTGTTTTACGTCAAAACTTTTCGATGGAAATGTGTTTCGTCAAAATTTTGGACGAAAATATTTTCGTTAGAAGTTTCAACGGAATTTAGATTCTATCAACAATTTTGACTGAATTTTTTTCCTTAAAAAATTTATGTCAGTGATTATGGCAAAATCTGGTTCCGTCTCTAATTTCGTCTTTATTTTTTATGGAAATTCTTTGACGTATATGATTTTCATCAAAAATTTCATCACTATTTTTGACAAAATATTTTTCATCGATAAATTCTGTCGGTATTTGAGATTTTTCTAACAATGTCACATTTATAAATGATTCACATTTATGAAGTTTTCACATTTATTTTTCCCTTCAACCCCCCCCCCCCCCCCGGCGCAATTGGAGGAGCTTTAATTTTAAGAATAAGGAAGATTTAGTAAAAATCCTCAATTCCTTCCCCTCGTTTTTTTAAACTCACAAACAAAGGAAGGATTTTCTAAAATCATCCCTTTTCTTTTCCTCCCCTCTTAAAATCTACTCCGAAACAAAATCAATCATTATTCTTCTAAAAAAAAGTGAATCAGTTAAATTTTTTATTTTTTATATTTAAAAATTTAAGTGAGGGTAAATATTGGTATTTTTTCCATGATGCAGACCTCCCAACCTAGCAACCTCTTTAAGAATTTATGAGAGGTCATTTCTTATTTTAATTTTGTGCTTGTTTTCATCTTATTTATAATAGAAAGCGGACAAAAATTGGTATTTTATACACATTTATAGGGGATAAGATCGAGGTAAAAACATTTATTTATATTATTATGTGGGACAATAATAAATATTTTGTTGTTTCATACAAGGCGGAGATTGCTGCTTGTAGTGCTGTAATAAAGGGGAGCAATCTTATTAAACCTAGTAATTAAAGTTTCATTAGAGAGAACCCAGTTTCATTAGAGAGAACACGTACAGTTACACAAGCATGGTCGAATTCACTGACATATATTTCAGTCATGTTTTAAATTCTTTTTCTTTCTTTTTCGTTGTAGTGTTCACTCTTCATATATAAGGGACTTGCTAAGTCTCCCAAAAGTTGATGTATATGCTCATTCTTTAATTTGATTAGCTTGTGTTTGAATTCAATTTTTTTATTTGATAAATGGGGAAGCAAAGATCAAATTGTAGACTACATAATTGTAGGTCATGATATTATGTTACGCTATTAATCCTCCGAAAAAGTTTAAACTGTTACATAAAGTAATGCGATATCTGTTAAATGGTGGTAGCTTAATTGGCGCATGAGAGTTAAGTAGGTGGAGATGAGAACATGTGTTCAAATCTTTCCCGTACTACCTTTGGGAGGGATTTAAAGCCTTAATCCTAAACCCACCCCGAATCGAATTAATTGCGAAGCAATGAACCGATTGGAATATTTCCGAAAAAGAAAGTAACGCGATATCTTGTGCAAATAATTTTAATCAGAAGAAAAACAAATATGTGAAATATAAAATGATCACAAAATTTGAGTTTGTAACTTGAATAGCCTTTCACAGATAAAAACCTATAATGGAAAGAGCAAATTGCCAATGGTTTTGATCACACTTGAGTAAATATGACCAAACAATGTGTTTTTTTGTAGATGTAAAGTGTGTAACCTCTTGTAACCTTTCCAGATATAGATTATGTTTCTAATTGGATTGTAGAGAAATGGCAGAACGACAAAATTGTGCAAAGGGCTCCTTTTTATTTATTTATTTGAAGTTATGGCATTGAAATTTGGAGAGAAAGTGCCATGTGGTGAGCTCAGATGTCAGCACATGGCTTCTCTTATTCCAACCTCTTAAACGGTAAACAAATACAGGGAAACCAGGGGTTTGTGTGGATATTCAAGAGAATCGGTTAAGTAGCGGGGGAAGCCACCAAATTGGTATTAGAATAAAGAAACTCTCTTTTTTTTTTGCCCCTTTTTTTAATATCCAATGCAGGACTTGGGAACTGTGATTCTTTCATGAAGGAAAACTGCATAGTAGTTCCGTACAAGTATTCTAGGCCTGTTGTTTTTAGCTTTGCTTCTTCCCCCTTTGCAAGCCTCTTGAGTTTCATCTGATCCTCAGCTTCTGACTACTGGTTACTACCTGTTCTTGCTTCTTTCAGACACACGTGAGCAACTGCAAGTCCTTGCAGAACAATGTTGAGTAAAAAAGTAGTACAGAACATTTAAGAATAGGTTTACTCTTGAAAACCCTTATACGATTGGCTGATTTCTGCAACTTCAATCTGAAGTAGATGATCCACACGACCCCTTTGTATTTCTCATTCTGTTGAGAGCTGAGCTTCTTCAGTTTTAAACTGAAGAGAAAAAGGAAGAAACTTGATGTACCCTAAACCAATATTTTAGTATATATATTCACCTAAACTCTCAATAGAGCTATTTTCACTGTTCTTTTCATCTGATCTAAGATAAAGTCCTTTAATTGTTGTTATTATTACTATTTATCATTTTCATTTGTTTTCTTTAGACAAATACTTTTTGTCCAGGTCACTGACTAATAGGCTTTTTGCAATTCATGGGGTGGGAAGGAAAAGTTGCTAATCAAATGCTTTCTTGTTTGTGCTTTTTCAAGAGTACACCCTCATGGATGGCTCTTCTTGCTCTCTTGATGCTTTTTTCCAGTTACCTACTGGTGGAATTTCGGTTTTTTTCTATCCTCTACACATCTCTAGTAATGGTTTTGTCTACTATTCTCTACACTGTATCAAAGCACAAAGCAGTACAGGTTGATAAATTAGTGGAAGAAAAGGTTCTGAGTTCTAAGGAGGAAAGGTTAGATCAAAGGGAAAACATTGCACCAACCCCACTGCACAAGCTTGAAACAGTAACAGAAGAAAAGGAAGCCCAAGAAGAAGTTAATATCAATGGTACTGTTGCTAATTACTCAACCACATCAAGGGATTTGCTATCAGAGAGTGAATGCCAAGACCAGTTGTCTACTTCTGAGGACTCTGAAGCTGATTGGTCATTCCCATATGAAGTAGATCACAGTCCTGATTTCTCAGATGGGTCAATTTCTGATGAGGATAGCCTCATAGAAATTGCACTTCCTAGTGGACACTATGTGGGTCAGCAGAAAGATGAACCAAAGTACAATTGCAGTTTGCAGCAGAAGAAGATGGAATTATCTGCTGAGGCCCTTTTCAGTCAACAGAGTCTAATGGAGTTCTTATCAGAATTTAACGACGTGAGTGAGGAAGAAAACTTAATAGAGATTGACATATCCATGGGTTCCATCAAGTACTCAAGGTTTGAAATAAAAGCATGAGTTCAGCACTAATATTGTTTTAAAAGTTCAATAAATGTTACCTAGTTTTCTTTCTTTCTTTCTCTCTTTTTTATCCACCTGGTTGGTTGGATTTGGAATGGAATGTAATACTTACTATAAGCTTAATGTTGTGTTATTAAGTGTTGTGCAGTGTGAGCTTCTGTTTCTCACAAACTTAGGATACCCCATTAAAGCGTTTGTGTATTATGTATGACCTCTTTTGACTTTCTTGTTGCTCTTTAAAGTAATAAAGAATAAAGTTGAAAAAGCCTGTGTGCCCAGATGATGGAAATTCCACTGACTAGCATTTCTTTCCACCTGATTCTTACTTTACTTCTCATCTTGCATTCTGCATCTTAAGTTCTTGACTTATCTTCCTAGATCAAAAGACAACTCATACTTGAGATTAACAAAGCAAGAATTGAAGAATTAAGTTTCTTTGCTATATATGTTCTTCTGATTGGGTATTTGGCTTTAAAAATATAATTTGCTGAATCATATGGAGCAAGAGTTTGAGGCCACACCACTGTACTTGAGATGTAAGATACCAAATAGGATTTGATCCAATTTAGCCGCAGCTGTCATCAGTTTATCTTTCTCCCTTGTTAATTTTCTAGTTTAGCTCTTTCGCTTGATTAAAAATAAATAAAAATTTCATGCATGCTGCATATATATATAACATCTCTGGAGTTTACGAAAATAACATATTTGATTGTGACTCTTAGTCTCTGTCATAAGGAATATAAATTTTACATGAAAATCTTTTGGGAAGACAGTTCAAGTTGCATGTATCTTTCTTGCTTAAAGTACTTGATTGTAGGCTTTTCTTTTCTGGATATGAAAATTGGCCATTTGGCCTATAGCACTGAATTGGATTCGTAATAGCTTTCACCCTTGAACAATTATATGAAATTGACTTGGATCCCTTCTTACTCAAAACTTTGAATTAGTCACCTCTGAGTGATTCTTTTTTCACCTTCCCAACTCCTTGAATGGAACTTTGCAAAATCTTCCAAGTTCCCTATGATATGAGGCGGTTACCGTGACCACTTTCTCAAACATTAATTGAGTCATCCAAACATTAATAGATGAGCTGAGGACTAGTCGAGCACCTTTTTTTTCTTTTTCTTTGTTAAAACTTCATATTCTCATTTATTTCATCAAAAAAATAAAAATAAAAATGCATCGTTCTCATTTTTAAGCCAAATTGCTTGTTTGTTTCGACGTATATTCTTTTTCTGCAACATTTCACACATTATGTGATATTTCATACAAAATACAGCAAAAATATAACGTTTCATAATCAATTCATAGGATATACTTATAGTTAAGTAGCATGAGCCCCGTTTAATGTTTCATCGCAAAGGCGAAAATAAAACTTAGGTACAGACACGTCACTATCATGTAGAAAGATAATCATATATATACACCAAAAAAGAAAGGAATGTACTCATTATCACATGAATTGAAATTGGACAAATGTGTCATCAAAATATCTCGTGTGTGTGGTACCAATTGCTATAAAAAGGAACCACTTTATCTCTGAATCTGAGGGGCATTTATTAGAGAGAGACGCAAAAGTTGTTAACAAAATCTGAAAAAGGATTGCGCGAACCTTCCATGCTGGCACTAATGGGGGGAAAATATCATAGCCACGAGTGGTTAGAATTGAAGTGGTGCGAGTGTGGGATTAGGGGCACCTTGAGTGACCAACAAAGCAAACTCATCATAGACTAAACTCATTTTTTGGTTAAAATGGTTATGACAACGTTGTATGTATGTGTAATGTGTTGGTCTTCAATATACTTACTCATCCTTAATAAATAATAATAGTAAGGCTTAGCTGTTAAGTTTTCCCTCAAAAAGGTTAAAAGAGAATCACATCACCAAACCGAAACAAATTCCTACCACGTGTGTTATTCCCAATCCGTCCAGATCTAAATAAATCCAACGCTGGATAGATAACCACGTAATCCCATAAAAAAATCGGAAGCGAGTGGTTGAAAAAAAGGCCACGTGTCTGGCTGGATGCATTATTAGGGCGAGGATCCAACGGAGCGAAGAGGAAGAAGTGTGGGATGGCGGATTCGGATAACGAATCGGGTGGGAACCCGAACGGGAAGGAGAAGGAGCAGGAACGGTTTTTGCCGATAGCGAACGTGAGCCGTATAATGAAGAAAGCGTTGCCGGCGAACGGGAAGATATCGAAGGAGGCGAAGGAGACGGTGCAGGAATGTGTGTCGGAGTTCATAAGCTTCGTAACAGGAGAGGCGTCGGATAAGTGCCAGAGAGAGAAACGGAAGACGATCAACGGCGATGATCTGTTGTGGGCCATGACCACCTTGGGTTTCGATGATTACTTGGACCCATTGAAGGTTTATCTCCACAGGTATCGCGAGATGGAAGGGGACAAGACTTATACTTCGACTTCTACTTCTACTTCTACTTCTACTTACGATGACAACGTTAATGGCATGCTTTATGCTTCTGCTGATGCTGGGTTTCATCATATGGGTATTCCTCAGAACCCACAACATGGTTCTATTGGAAGGAGGACTATGTAGTTAGGTGGTGGTACTAGGAAGTGGTGGATTGACAAAAAATGTAACCTTTGTAATGATAGAGTGCTAGTTGTCTTAATTTGAGGGAGAACTGATGGGAAGATGTTTGTACTTTGTACTATGTATATCTATGTAATCCATTCATGAAGCATGTTTTTTTGAATGGTTGAAATCAAACCGTTTTCTTTTCCTCTTTTTTGAATTGTTATTCTTGTGGGAGTTTGGAAAATCTGAGAATGGCTTGAAATTCATCATCATCATCATCAAGTTGAGCATTGGACAGTTTCTTTATGTGATTGTAAATTAAGGGGTGAAGTTGCAATGGTGTGCGCTTTTGTGGGATAGAAAACCTGCCTTTCCAGTAATAGGATCGATCATGTGCGCTGTGAAAAGACTCGCATGATTGTTCTATTGGGGGGGGTTCGTTACTCGCTCATTACACTACAACTTGGAAAGTTGTGTAGCAGAGCTTGTCGCTTTAGTTTCAAGTCTACGTCCTTCTGACCCGATTTTAAAGCAGCCACCTTTGAGTCATTCGCATTTGGGCAGCTTTAACGATTTGGAAATGATGGGCGTACGTCAAGAATACCTACATGGCTATATCTGTCAAATAACTGTACTCACATATTTCCGAAGGAGAGAAAAAATATATATACATATATATATATATATATATATATATATATATATATAATGTATTTGTGAGAATTTATAATTTTATTTTGTAAGAAATAAATTATCATTTACACACATAAAAATATATGAGATTCATATTTTTTTTTCTTACTCCACATAAGTCTCATACAATTTTATATATATAAAAGATCATTTTAACTCATATAACATGTGAAATATGGAACCCAGGTTTATTCATAAAGCGTAATTTACACATAAAACCTTTTCGGGTAACTTTTATGAAATGGTACCCGAATAAATTTTTAGAGTTAAATGATCTGCGTTTTGGTTTTTTTTTATTATTATTATTTGGTTAAGTTCAATCTCTCAAGTTAAATAGAAGGAAAATAGTTTTCATGTTAGTCTTGTAAAATGCTACTCGTAATAAATAGCATGTCTTAGAAAAATAATAGAAATTAAAAATAGTCGTTCCTTTTAGAATATCACTTGTTGAATTTTATATCAATTATTGTGCTAAAATTATTATATTACTAATTTTAAATCAATATTAACAAAAAAAAGTTGAAAATAATAAAGATCAAAATTGAAAGGATATAAAGCCCAAATAGCTTTGACTTAATTAGCACACCCAATTGAGGCCTCGAGCCGGTCCATCCTTCTATGCTTTGACATTAGTAAGGCCCAGTAAAGCATGGATCTAGAGTTGCAAACCCTTTAACTTATGTGCCTTGTTTCTTCTCATTCTGTTGCATTACATACCCATAGTGTTCTCACACTGATTCCCGCACAGAAATTTGCACCTGGGCCCAAACAGAAACATACCCGAATTACACATTAAAATTACAGTTATGGGCATATTGACTAAAAGATGGGTGTTAGAGATATAATATATTAAATTATTAATATGAAATTTCCTTAAAAACTTAAATTTTTAGGAGGCAAATGAATAATTTTATTATTATATTTTTAACATAGGGGGAAAGGAAATGATTTTATTTGATTGATTTGTAATAACGTGGAAACATCTTGGAATGAATTCCGGGACAAGTATGTTTAAGTGAAATTTTCAATAACTTAAGCAATCTAGAATCAATCCATTGAGTGGAAGAAAACGCTAGCTGGAAACCTATTATTAAACCGATTTTGCTTTTGCTTACTTCATTGTAGAACCATGGCTTCTGCTATTGTACAAGAAGTCACCAAATGGAGCTAGCTAGATCTAGCACATAAGTTTCGTGTGTACTTAGAGGGACTTGGCTTGTTTCAGTCTTCAAACTTTATTGAATCCGGAATACCTTATCCCTTTTGGCTGACATTGTTACAGCTAATTTTAACTTTGATTAATTTATCCCAAAACCAAATACAAAGAAACGAACAAAATGTCCTTAGGTAGCTTTTTAACCTTTCTTTTGAGCAAGACCCTATTTACTCCATTCTCATTTGATCAACAACCTTGCTATTGAATATTGAGACAGTCCAAGTATTGGGTGTCCCACACTAGTGCTATTTGATGCTTTTTATTCCAAATTTGGTGGCTCAGCCTTTATTATTGTTAAGATGAGGGTGACAACTATGTATCAACCAACTCAAAACATTATTTATCTATCTTCGGACAATTATTATGGATACCCTCTCTCAAAGAAAAAATAGCCTGAACTTGTTTACAAGAATTAAGAATATTGAGCCAAAATTTTCACAACTGGCATAAGATGTCGGTTTTTACAAACGACTTCGCCGACAATAATAATCTTAAAAATCAATAATGTCACTCAAAATGTAATTTAACACTTAGATATTAAATAGTGCTCTTTCACTGATGCTACATTCTTGTCAACAGATATTTAGGATAGTTTCAGCAAATTAAATAATAAATAGTTAAATACAATTAAACCTCAAATATATATGCCTAATAACAACATGATCATAACACCATGATTGTTGTTCCTCAAGCAGTAAAATTTCTGTTTTATGGCTAATATTAGCATTTGTAAGTCATTAATTTGCACTAAAATGTACCCAAAAGAAAAAGTAAAAATAAAATAAAATAATAACAAACACCTACAGCCTAGAGTAGTGGAGAGTGGGGTCTAAGAGTGTCGGTGGGATGCCAATCCAGTTAGGCTTTCCCTGAAAGAGTGAAATTGGCACTTGATCTTTTAAAATTCCATATTCTCTTCTCCCTATAATCACAATCATCCAATCTATGATGGGGTCTTTGTCCTTACCTAATTCCAACCTGGCATTATTTGTCAGCACACAATCATACAGCAAATTAACACAAATTAACACCACACACACACACACACACACACACTCACAAATAGACATGTACTAAAGCTGAGTTATAAAAACACACACCACTCTCCTCACCTCTCCTTGCTTGACCCTCACATCCATAATCCTCCAAAATGAAGCAAGCACCACTTGTCATTTCCACTCTTGTGTTCTTCCTCACAGCACTTCTTTCCTTCACTGCCAATGGCCATAACATCACTCTCATACTTGCCCAACACCCTGAATTCTCCACCTTTAACCACTACCTCACCGCCACACACCTAGCCGGAGAAATCAACCGCCGCCGCACCATCACCGTCCTTGCCATAGACAATGGCGCCATGTCATCTCTCTTAGACAAACACCTCTCTATCTACACCTTAAAAAATGTCCTCTCCCTCCATGTATTAGTGGATTACTTCGGTACCACAAAACTTCACCAAATCACAAACAGAACCACTCTTGTTTCCTCTATGTTTCAGGCAACAGGTGTAGCTGCTGGAACCTCAGGTTACGTGAACATCACAAACCTTAAAGGAGGGAAAGTTGGGTTTGGCGCAGAAGACAACGATGGACAACTCCATTCATTCTATGTCAAATCTGTTAAAGAAATTTCATATGATATATCTGTCCTTCAAATTAGTCAAGCTTTGAGTTCAGCTGATGCTGAAGCACCAACTGCTGCACCCAGCGCAATCGACCTAATATCAATCATGTCAAAACAAGGTTGTCAAGCTTTTGCAGATTTGTTGAGAGCTTCAAAAGCTCTTCCTACGTTTAATGAAAACGTTGATGGGGGTTTAACCGTTTTTTGTCCAACTGACAAAGCCGTCAACGGTTTCGCCCCCAAGTACAAGAATCTCACGGATGCTCAGAAGGTGTCATTGTTGTTATATCATGGTGTTCCTGTTTACCAGTCCTTACAGATGTTGAAATCAAATAATGGGGTAATGAATACTTTGGCTACTGAAGGAGCCAACAAGTACGATTTCACAGTGCAAAATGATGGGGAAGATGTGAAACTTGAAACAAAAGTTGACACAGCAAACATTGTTGGGACATTGATAGACCAAGACCCTTTTGTGACTTATAAGGTTGACAAGGTTTTGATGCCTAGAGAGTTGTTTAAGGGGACAGTAGAAGCAGCACCTGCAGAGTCACCTAAGCCAGCAAAGAAGAAGAAGGGGAAAACAGCTGATGCACCAGCAGATGGGCCAGGAGCAGCCGCAGATGATCAGAAAGCTGCTGATGATAATAGTGGGGTAAGTGGATTGAACAATGGCTTCAGATTCATCATGGTGTTGTTGAGTTTGTTTATTGGGGTTTTGGTTCTTTAATTGCTTGCAATTTGCATACCATGAAGTGAAGATCCAATGGTGTGTCGGTATACAGCTATGGTCAATGTTTATGTTAGATATTCTTTTCTTTTCCTTTGATATTATTTGTGAAGGAAATAAAACGGTGACACCGACAAGTTTGAGGCACTGTCCTTTTTTTATTTTTTTCTGAATTATTGAATTGGCCTTTTTTATTATTATTTTTTCCAGTGTGGGTAGATCCAGTTTGTGCTAGCTGCCAGCTGGGATGTATGCATATAAACAATTTTAAATTGAATAGATTTTTAAATGGCTTTCTCTGTTACATCAGAGTTGGACAATATGATATTGAGATAACGGCCCACTGTGCATGTGAATCAACCATTTTGATGACAATAGCTCTTGTGATTTATTATTGTTCTGCTAATTTAATCTTGAAGTTGGAATCTGTTCATATTATTATATTATGCTTTTATTTCCATGATCAGTATTCAGTTTATATTAATCAATGCTCTTATGATTCGATGAATGCATTTTTTTTTGGGACATATGAAGTGTACTTTTTTTAATATAAAATTGACATGAGGTTTAAACAAATCATCTCACGTTAATTCTTTTATCACTATGTCATTTCTAGTTGCCTAGTTAGGTGAAGATTATGTCACTTGATGAAAATTTCTCTTATTTCCTTTTATTCATTTTTTAATTGCAATTCCCTTTGATTGAATGATACAGTATGATAAATATGGCCACCTAACAAACGTGTACGGTTTACTGATATAGTAACTTGGGCAAAACGGAGATTTTTTTTCCCTTAGTATGAAAAAATGGAACTTCAAAAAGGAATATCTGGTCTAGCTGCCCATAACTTGAAATAAAATAAAATAAAAAGGTAAATATTATTTAAGATTGTAATCTAAGTAAATAAAGTAAGCATGAAAAAAAAAGCCAAATCCAAAACCAAAGATTAAAAGAACTAAATAAAAGAAATAATGAATGAGTTCAAGGAAAGTTATACATTACACACTTTGTCTGAATCTACTGCATTCCTAAACTTTGAGCTGGTTTATATTAAATTAGTTTACATTAGTTTCTATTTAAACCTATATGATTAATGACTGTGGGACTTCACTGCTCAAGATTTCATCCCAATAATGTATTGGTGTCAAAAGAATAAAAAATAGGAAGAGGACATAAGATATTATTCAGGACAGCAAGAAAATGCTCTTGCTCAAAGAAGAATACAATGAAAGTTACACCACCACTCTTCTTCTCCAGTGAACGTCTCTGGCCTACTATCTCTCTCTTGGATTACAAAATTCTCAATCCTTTTTCTTCCCTCCCCCTCCCTATGTAAACGAAAACATCTTCCTAATTCTGTTACAAAACATTAGGAATATCCTAATTGATTCCCACCCATTAATTGCATTTATTTATTTTGTTCTCCTGCCTACTTGATCTGAACCTTTCTTTTTTCCTTCTAACATAGGTGGGATTTATTGGGAGTTTCCATACAATTTCTTAGTATTCTATGACATCATTCCCTTTAAATTAAAGCTCAATATGTGCAACTATATATTTAGCTTTAGCTCTCGGCTCTCGCACAACACATGCCAAAGCGGATTGCAGTTATAATAATAACCTCTGCATGCTTCTATCACACTTATGTAGTGAAAATGAATGGGTCAAACATAAATAAAACAAAACAAAACAAAAGAAGAAGAAGAAATATGTTGCCATTTACTTTAATTTAATTAATGGTAACCATTGAGACGGTTATTATTACAATCCGAAGTTCCACATGTAAGGTCGGACGCTTTACTGCTGGTGTATCTATGAAGTTCGCTACTGGTTACAAAGAATCAAAATAAAGATAAGCGGCAGCAGTTTGAAAGTATCAAAATCTTTCGGGTACAAATATCAGGGTAGATCATCAGTATGCAGCCTTGGAAAGATTGAAATGAAGGATAAAAGCTACATGTTTGAAACTTAGAATGCCACTCAACTGAAAATTAGTGAGATTCATTTCAATTGACCATAGAACATATACCTGAGCAGCCACAATTTCTGAAGCCTGACTCTGAATGTCGAAGGATTGAGGTTGCAACATGCAAACAAAGAATAAATTTGATTTCTCGAAGAAAGACTTATGGTTTTGCCTGATACCAAAAAGACAGAGACAGTGAAGACCAGACAATATTGATTCAGATTTCAGCGAGCAAAATAGTGCAAATTATTTGCATAACAATATGATGGTTCTTGTGAAAAATGCAGATGCTATTTCCACAGAACACCAAACATAGCATCTGTTCTGGCCCGCCACCTTATAGACCCAGCAGGTTTGACCCAATATTATGAGAAAACCTTGGGTACTCCTGCAGCAGGTACATCCATTCTAAAAGAATGAAGTTTTTAGAATTTAGAAGGAATTATAAAGAAAAGCATGAACTAATATGGAAAGAAAATTTCTCATTTTAGTAAAAGGGAATACCGAGTTCGATACTTCCGTAATATTGAAAAAATTTCCCAATATTGTAGCCCTTATCTAGAACCTTGTAGAGGGCACTCTGTACCCCTACACTGATGCCCACTGTACACTAGCAGTAGAGCAGCATGCTTTGTCTCAAGGACAAGATAGGCTACAGGTAGGACAGCCACTGATACTCACTTCCAGGCTGGATGAGTCTTCTCTCTAAAAATACCATCTTCCATGGCTGAAGAAGGGACCTTTTCATCTTGCGTCTTAGGAGCTGTTACTACCATAGCCAATCCACACACACACCTTTTATATACTGCACCTGGGAAGCTCTTTATGGAGCCATGATTTCTACCTTGGTCACTAAGGGGGTGTTTGGTTGAGGATTTTCAAAGATTTATCTATGCATCTCACTTTGGGAAAGTGTGACATTCACGTTTGGTAGAGGATTTTGAAATATTTCCCCAGCTTTTATATTTACATAGCAATCCAGAAATGCTTGTAAAAAGCAACTATAAATCACTATTATGAAAGACAAGTAGATGGTGGTATTCTATAGTTAGCCGGCGAAATGTTAAAAATGGCATCCATTTGCAGACCAAAATACCCTCGCGCGAGAGGTGTTGATGCAGCTAACTTGATCTCATTCATGCTGGAGCTTAGTTTTCATGTCATCGGGGAGGCATATAATATAAACACAGTGACTGATTTTCAGAGGAACATAATTAAGGACCTAACAGACCTTGGACTGGTCAAACTTCAACAGGGAAGGAAAGAAAGTTGGTTCATACCAACGAAATTGGCAACCAATCTTTCAGTGAGCTTGTCTGATTTATCATCTAGAAAACAGGGATTTGTGGTTGTGGAAACAAATTTTAGAGTTTATGCATACTCATCTTCAAAATTACATTGTGAGATATTGCGGCTGTTCTCAAGGATAGAGTATACACTTCCAAATCTTATTGTTGGAGCTATTACAAAAGAAAGCTTGTATAACACTTTTGAAAATGGCATTACAGCAGATTAGATAATCAGTTTTCTTCAGTAGAATGCTCATGCTCGAGTTGCAGAGAAGATACCATCTATGCCTGAAAATGTCACAGATCAGATTAGACTGTGGGAATAAGATCTAAACAGAGTTGAGATGACAGAAGAATATTTATATATAAGGGTTATTTTGTAATTTTGTCATATTTTCCCATCAAAATAGCCATCTCAACCAAACATGGACTCAATATATTTAACTCAATTTTTCCAATAAAATTTCATTCAACCAAACAACTTTTTTTTAACTTTCCTACCTAACTCACTTTCCAACTATTTCCCTATCAATTACATTTCCCTAATATTCAAAAAATTCTCCTCAACCAAACGTCCCCTAAGAGCACCCTTATATCAACATATTTCACCCTCTATGGGGTACATCTATAAACTACACATCTACACATCAATTCATTGGCACCGTCTATGGGAAGACCTGCAATTCCACCTTAAAATCAACATCAACAACACCTTTATCCCAAATTAATTGAGGTCGGTGGTAGATGAACCCACATGAAAGATACAAAACGGTTGAAAAAAAGTTAAAAAAAAAAAAAAAAAAAAAAAAGCCAAAAATAAATAAATAAAAGTAAACAAATAAAAAAAATATATAAAATAAGATAAAATAAAATAACAATATATGTATATATAAATAAATAAAAGTAAAAAAGAAAGGGACAAGAAGAAGTGGGGGAAATGAAGGGGAAAAAGACTAAAAAGGGACCATCTGGAACATAGGAATAACAGCGGGTCTAACCCTCCACCATACTTATAGCTTTTCTCCACCTTAAAATATCTAGGAAAAATTATATTCTTACCTTCAACAGTTCATTAAGTGTGAAGAAGTCGAAATGCAACTTTGCTTTTGCTCCGGTCAGTTCAATAAATTTGTAGAGGTCGAAATTTACACACATGACCACCCATCTCTAGCCGGCCGGTTATTACCTATGGGTTATTACCTATGGGCTCCAGCTAAAGCACTTTTAGGCACTGGCTCATCATTTCAACCACGAAAAAACTCTCGGAGAACATTATTGGCCAAAAATGATTGCAACAGCAAACCAGAAATAGAAAGCAAACCAAAGATCTAGAATGAAGAAAAAAACATATGTGGAGGATTGGAAAGCAAAGCAAAAACCTTACTAACTCGGCACCAATTCTGGTCGGTCATTTGCCCACCCTTGCAGCTCTATGCCAATCGGTGGTGGACATCTAAACCGCTTGTGTGCTCATAATTGTCAAATACTCGGTGAAGAGCAAATGATCCTGCTCAACAAGTTCGAAGGAAATATACATTCATACCAACAACCACCCAAGCCCACTTGATTCACCAAAGTCACCTATTAAGAATGACATTGGTCCACTTAATTCATAACTTTCGACATATACATTCATACCAACAACCACCCAAAAGCATATTTCTTATACTTGAAGAAGTCACATTATGTCTTGTATACTTCAAAATATTTAATTAAGGTGGTCTACATAATCATACTCACATATTAACTTGCCAATTCATGCCATCCTAACAAGTCATAACTTTAATTTCATTAATCCATATTGATCTTACATAACAAGGAATTACTCTATTTTATTTGGTTATCTTAAATTTCCTTATTTTCCAACACTTGTCATAACTTCCTTATACTTGACAATTTCTTACATAAGCTTATTTAATTTTAATTCAATACCTAGGCTAGATAACCTATAAGTGGCCGAATTATGTAAAGCCCAAACCAAGGCATAAGTCATCTTAATGTAATCTTAACATAACCATTTATTTCTAAATCC